TTACAGGTTCTGTCAAAGATAAATTAAAAATATTTGAGAGATTGTTCACATCAGATTGGTGTGGGGTGGGAGTCTGGGTTGATTAATTGCCAGCGACTCTCAGGATCCCTCTTAAACCTGAACTTCAACACTTCACTGATATGCTTCATTAATACGAATTTTAAAGCAAATGACTTCATCTGAGAGAGCAGGAACGCATCAGTCACTGTCTGTGTGCTTCCTCTGCCATTTCCCTTCTCTGATTGTTTTTTCCTCTTACACTTCTCACTGTGATGAGATGACAACGTATTACATCAACTTGATGACGTGAGTCTGTTTTATGAAGATTTTTCCTTTTGTCCATGTTGTTGTCGTATTTCCAAAAAGTTTCTGAAGAGAAGAATGGACTGTTCATCTGAGACTGAAATTAATGAATTCATTTTGAGGTGACTCACTTTTTTATAAATTATAATGAAGGATATATTTACCTTTACTAAGGAGGTTATTTTACGCAAAAACTACTGAAGAGATTTCCACAAAACTTGGTGGAAAGATGTGAAGTGGATCAGGGGAGAACCCAATTTATTCTGGTATGGATTCGTCTCATGGGATGGATCCCGGGACTTCTTTTGTGAGATAGGGTGTTTTATGGTTTTACCACATATTTGTGAGGTTCTGAAGAAATAATACAAAGATTTTTCATGAAAACAACAGGTGAGATTTTGTGCAGATCTGGATAATGATCCAGATTTTGTGAATGTAATTAAGTATTTCTAGGGGACTGATCTTTATTCAGTTTCTGTAAAGTCACAAATATTCCTTCCAACTGTATGAGAGAATTTTTATTTTGCCTGTGTCTGATGTGAACAGTTTCCAGAAAATGTCTGTGTTCAAGTGGCAATTGAGCCTCTGCACTTTAAGTGTGCTTCTCAAGTTTTACTGTACACCTAAGTGTTGCAAAACAGGAGTTTCTTATTAAAGATAATTACCAGTATATACTTCTCTTATTGCTTTCCCAAGTAGTTCATAGCATCTGACAGTGTTCCTTCATACATCATTTTATTTCTGTTGCATAAAATGTTCTGTTTGCGGTGCAGCACAAGCTTTTTTACAGTCATTTCCATCATCTCCTGTATAATGTGCAGACCTATGATATATGTATTGTAGGTGTAAATTTGGTTCTAGACACTGAGGACGGAAAAGGAAGCTCAATAACAGCCGTGTGATACTTTAACCATAACTGGGCAGAGCTGCGCTGATGTCGGAGCAACCCCAGGGGCCCACTTTAGTGTAATCCACGAAGGCTTAACAGGCTGACAGAATCACTCAGCTACTGGCTCTGACCTGGCACTCAGCTCCCTGTGGGGCAGAGCTACACACACACACACACACACACAAACACACACATCACCACCTCCACCAGAGAGAAGAGGAACGATACAGAAGATCCCATGCGATGACAGTGTGTGTGTATGTAACCCACACTGACTTAAAAATGGAGTTGTACGAGGGCAGAGCAGTGAGATGACAGAAACACGCAGCATCGGGGTCTCTAAGAACAACAGATCAGATGTCAGAGCGGAATAGTCCACAGTCAATGTTTACCTTTTTCATGAGCGCTCTGCAAAATCTATTAAAGTGCAGAAAAACTTAATTTGGTAGAACGGTCATTCTGTATGACATTCAAGACAGAACGCCAGATCGTAATCCTTTACTGTCATATGAAGGTGAAAATGTTTCCACATCTGTGAGCAATAAAGCGAGATGAGCTGCAGTGCACTATACAGTACTACTTCAATGCTACACACACACACACACACACGCACACACGCACACACACACACACACCAATATGTTCCTTTACATTTCCACTTGCAGTTCTCTCCTGGGACATTCTCAATTGTTCTAGTTTGCAACTGCATTCTGTAAATCGTGATTATACGACATGGGGCTAATTCATAATTGAGTAACCATGGTAGCCAGTTCAACACAGTATATGATAAACTTTGCAAATAAAAGTTATTAGGATAGGGACAGTAATTGAACTGACACACACACACACACACACACACACACAAAAGCCTCAGTCATGCACATTGAGAAACTGTGACCTCTATGTTTAACCCTTCTATTTTCAGTCGCAGTTGTGCCCCATTGAAACAACTTGTGGTGTGAGTGGTTTCTTAGGGGAGGGGGGGCGGCAGCACTGGGATAGAACTGGCAGGGACAGAGAGGAGGGGGGCCGGAAACTTTGTGGCACTGACCCATCCCTCTGATCCAGTGCAGACTGTTTGCGACGTCACGCTGCGGTGTCCTGCCCTCTCTCGCTCTAAAACACACAACCACAATCCCAAATAGCTCTAAATGCAGCCCTGCTGAGTGCTCTCAGTTTGGCCCGGTTTGTCTCGCTTTATGAAAGTTTTACAGTAAGAACTGGCGAATGGAACAAGCTCCACTTTTGCTCGGAGTGATGAGCTTTCCCAGAGCTGTTGCACTGACAGCTCTGGAGCTCTGCTTGGTGAGCCTTTAAACACAAAGCCGACCAGCGCTGATCAGTAGAGAGAAGGTGTTTAATGTCCAATAGAAGTCTTCTGCAGTGATCGTCATGTGTTGCTCCAGGCAGAGTTTCATGTAGCTCTGAACATTCGAGACAGTTTCTATGTACCCCGAAACTCTTCAGGCCACGGTGTAGCGTGGTTAAAATAACACGGCGCGGGCGAAAGTTCAAGCTGAGGTTTTGTTTCACAGATGGTAAAATGTGGGGTAGATGTATTACCTCAATATGTGCAGCATTGGTATATTTCCTTTACAGTAGAACATTAGTTCAGCCTTTTCCACAACAGGAACAGAATCAACAAAATATTTATGAATCTATAAATTTGCGGTCAGCAGATCTGACTTCAGCAGCGGGAGGTTGCCTCATATCAACCAGCTGCTTTGTTATAGGAAAACGCATTCGTCCTGAAGAACCTCAGAGGAATTTGAACGCGGTAGATGTAAGAGAAGATGTAGGAGAGTAAAGCCACTCGGTTAGCCGTGTTTTATGCAGCCTGTTCCCTCCCTTGTTGTAATCATCGTCTTTGCTTGTCATAAACCCTTGAGTTTTTTGCATTTTTCATCATTTTGACAATGTGAAACCATCAACGTTGCTTCTGGGAAATAAACCATTCCCGTCAACATGTGTTTTTGTTTATTTTCTGTGAGAAAGGGAGATTATAGGAGGAGGAAAATATGAGAGCGATGTGAGATAGATGGAAGAGGGCTACATCTTAGACAGGCTGCTGTTTTCTTAGATTAACTTTGAGGAGCAGACGACAAAGAGTTGCCAGGTTTTACATCGCCTCAAAATGTCTGCTGCGCACCTCCTCTAAAGTGTGGGTGCACTCCTGAAGCTTCTAAGTGCTCTTGTGGTGCACAGTTAATTGTGTGTGCAAACCTAAATCACAACCTTATCACCCTGTGACCACAGCCACAAAAAGACGCAGTTATTCTCTGCAGAACAGGCGTGTAAACATTTACGCAGTCGCCCACATCACCTATCAAGCGGTAGGTGGGAGCCTGCCAAAACATTTTTCTCTTGACGTATGTTGTTTAAACATCTGGAAGTATCTGTGTGTCTTTCTCTAAACGAGTCTGTCAGGTAAGTCGTACCTGTGCACCTGTGGGTGTCACGTTTCGCCCGCCTGCAGCACACCTGGGTTTCAGTTTGTGCCACAGCCAGAAGAATCGTGCTGGTGTCAGTCACTCACTCAGACATCCCAGGAATCAAGTATTTCTGACCTTCATGTACGTATGAGACAGAAAGTTGAGGAAAGGTGATTTCATATCCTTATAAACCTTGCTGTTGACAAGAGGGATCATAAAACCTCTTGCTGGTCTTTTTTTTTTTATCCTCTCTCAATTCCTCGCCCTCCTCACTAACTTTCTATCTCCTCTCTTTGCATATTGGCCTGCGTGACACCAATCAGAAATGTAAACACTTGTCATGATGTAACACGTTTTGTGCAAGTGGGTGCACATGCAAGTACACACATATGGGGCCAATTGACGGGGTCACATATGGGATGTGCTCCTAAAGTCAGTATCATTTTACCAGTGTAAATATTAGTCAATGTCAGGAGCGTTTACACTGTAATGGAAGTCCTTCAGCTCTACTTTCCTTAAAGCACTTTCTCGCTGCTGCTCTCCCTCGGGCCTCCCCTCTCCTTATTACTCCCCTCTCATCCAGCCCTTATGCAGTCCCCCGTTTCTCATTACCCAATCTTCTCTCCTGGTCTCTGCGTCTCCTCTTGAGCTCCAGCAGACTCTGACAAGGCCCAGTTGTCTTCCAGACAGCCCCATCCCCCCACATCGAAAAAAAAGTTTGAAAAATCCCCCACTTCTTATTCTCCAATATGATTAATCATTCCATTAACTGATCCACTGTCACCGGATTGTTGAAGGGCGCTTATAATTCAACCTCAACCATCCCCGAGAGACACCAAATCTCCAGGCCATCTTCCAAAGCTCTTGTCGTCTTTGTTCGTTCCACGCCTAAAACAGCTGTCATCCGACGTGGGTTTGAACGTCTGTTACTAAATCCGACCACGGGTGAGGAATAAATGACGGAAGGTTAAAGAAAAAAATAATAAATCACTGAAATATTCGATTAAAAAGAAATGTACTATGAAAAAAGAAAAGTGCTGGAACAACTTTTACTTCAATTATACACAATTGATTGGGATTTTTAAATGTTCAAATTAAAGTTAAAGTTAAGAAAATATATTAACTCAGTAACTCATTTTTAATTAGAAAAAAAATATTTCTCATGAAAAATTCACTTTTTAAGCATTGAGAGTCCTGGGCTATTTTGATAAATTGTTAAATCCCTTTTATTTTTCAAAAAGGTTTTTCAGGCAAATGTTTTCTCATTTTTTTCACACTGTAAAGTTTTCAACCCTTCATGTGATTTGATCACGCCAGTGTGATGTCCAACTCCTGAGAGTTCAGGTGGTAAACAATTTTCTTTTTTCAGTGTATATGTTGAACGGGAAATAAGGTTTATGTCAGGAAATGAAAAGAGGATAAACACAAGTTGAATAAACACTGTGAGCAACTACTCCTCCACTGGTTTTACATTTGATATTTATTGAAACAAAGTAGAGCATTGAGCCAATTTGTAAAAAGTAACAAAATATCAGCTATAACACATTAAGTTTAACAAACCTCAAATTCATGGAGAAGCTTATAAATATACATAGTTGGATTGGTAGGAACAGTTTGTCTATTGAGAATCATCACAGGGACAGTGAGCTGTTAACTGAGTGGTTTTGGAAATTTGTGGCGATGATAAAATCTGAACATCTGTGACGTGTGTGTGTGTAAAACGGTAAAGCTCAACATGAGTGAAGAAATAGTGTGTTTCCAAACAATAAGGTGCTTTTCCCTTTACAAAAGAAACAGTGAAGAGCCGCAACAGTGAGGAAAAAAAAATTTTTAAAAGTGACTCCGAAACTTGATGTCCGACAAAATGTTGATCTCAGATGTTTTTCTGTTTGAAGATTAAAGGAGGATCGGGTTAAAGAAAATAAATACAGTTTACTGATTGGCTGGATAGACATACTATATACACAGAGCATTGAATATTTCACCACTGTAACCACAACATTGCCCATATATATTCAAACCATGTTAAGTATTGAAGAATAATGTTAAATGGATAATCTGAATTAATATGGAAAAGAATGTAAGCTATAATATTGATATATTAGCTGATGCACTGTAGTAAAAAACAGCTGAACAGACACGTACAGACAGGTTTAAGCCTCTGTATCAAAGTGCATAATGGTGGAGGGCTTGCTGCAGCACCTTGGGAACTGTAAAGGCGTCTGGGACAACTTAATAAAAAGGCCCAAACCCTTAAACAGCCCTGTGGCCACTGTACTCCAAGAACCAACAGTGATGAGAGAGGGGACAAGAAGACTTCGGTGTGGATGCGAAGGCTGGTTTGTGGACTGGGCCCCACGGAAACACATCAGTCTCTTACCAACATCTCGAACAACAAATCAGGAACCTCTTATTCAACTGTGCCACAAATATCAAACTCTACTCTCGTTAGGAAATGGGAGGCACCGTCCAATTTTGCAATCAGTGTGACCCATCTGACAAGAAAAGTGATGTTATTTTGAAATTAGGAAATGGTGTGGCTGGAAATGTTTCCAGCCACTTTTTAGGCACTTGTATGGGTTTAAATCAGCCGGTGATGACTGGGCCAAAATATAACATAACAATCTCAAAATAAATATTTCACGATACTCTCAGTTTCTGAAGACATAGGATTTTTTTTTTTGAAAAAAAAAAAAAAAGAGTCAGTCTTTTTGCAATGGCATAATTGTTTAACTCTATAAATATAATTTATATAGTTTCTTCCATTCTCTCACTGTGTGCAACTCCTTTTGCTCCTCTGCTCATGAACACACGCAGATGGACGCCCATCGTCTGCAAACAAACACACAGGCAACGCTCCTCTTCTCACTTGCAGACAAATTGGTCTACGATTTTGGTGCAGCGCTTGCACTTGACGTAGCAGCACCAGTGAAACTTGCAGTGGCAGCGCTCCACTATCTGCGCCTTGTACTGGTCGTAGCCGCGGCCGCAGCACATCAGCTCGCAACCATCCATGCCCTCTGACGTCTTGTTGCAAAGGCGTCCCACCGTGCCCAGGGAGCCCGTGCTTTGGTTCTTCAGGCAGTAGTCCGGACTGGACTCGATGTACACCAGGTCGTGGCTCGTGGGAGCGTTGAACTTGCTGTGCATTTGCACCATCTTTCCACGCGTGTTGAGCTTCATGGCTGCAGCACTGTCGTACTTCTCCTTCAGCGCATCACCCACCTTGCGGAAGTCCGCCAACTGCAGCCAGCAGGTCTTGAGGCTGCAGGAGCCAGACACCCCGTGGCACTTGCACGACACGTGGGCAAGGTCCGACACGGTCTGAAAGAGGGGAATAGAAAAAGGAAAAATAAATACTTGGGTTATATAAACTTGCAGGAATGCTTATTCTTATGTGGCAAATTGCAAAAAAAACATCCAAATGTTTCATATTTCTAATTTGTCCTGTCTACATAAGTATTTGCACAATCCGCTGTTTATGATCTTATGAAGCTGTAATTTGTCCTAAACGACTAAATGATCCTGTCCATGTCTCCCCTGGTGCACTGAATAAAAGATGCTGTCCACTCATTTGTCCTCCTTGAGAGAGAACAGCCTGGCAACAGATATCTGCTATTGCGTTTCCTTTGAGGTGGTTTCAAGATGTTTGGAACAGAAAAGAAACCCCAGAGCTGCAGCTCCAGTGACTCCATCTCCCCACAGATCAAAGCCTCAGGAGGGGGAGAGCAGACGGAGCTGTTGCACACATGATCAGCTGAGACCTGTCTGATCGCCCTGGACTGTCTCACCTCCAAACTCCTCTTGCTCTTTCTATCACTGGTCGGTCTCATTCTGGGGCCTGCAGCTTATCTCTTTCTGCTCTCCTCTTATCTGGTGACATCTAAAATCCCTTTGTAAGTGTGTTTGTGCATGTAATCCCGGTCTCTCACCCTCCGTCCAGCCTCGTTATTGTGGAGATTCATCAGCAGCCGTGCGCTCTCGTACGAGCCTTTCGGATAGCTCTTCTCTCTCTCGCGTGCGTCCACAAACTCCTTGGAGAACCTGTAGCCGTAGTTGAGGTTGTCTCCACAGCCGCCCCACAGCCAGTCCCGGGGCAGATCTTTGGGGCGAGCCGCACGACTGCACCCACAGCTGGAGAGCTCCCCTTCTCTGCAGGCACGGCTCACCGCGTTCACCACCCCCGCTGCGCTGATGGCATAAGTGAACGCCGTCTCTCGGCTGCCTGTGGACACACAAAGCAAAACAGGAATGTCATATCAAATTTGACAACATAAGAGTGAATGAGAAATGTGAGAATGCAGTTTTATCATTTGGCAAAACCGTCCACGGCTTCTTTTTTTGTATAGGTCATGCATGTGTATTTAGTTTATAGTGAATTTGTCTCACTGTCATTTTGCTTTAACAATCTGCAGCGTGTTATGATATGTGATGTCATATGACAGCATTCACCATACACTTAAGATTACAGAGCACCTCAGCCAAGTCCTGCAGGCTCCTCATCACCAACAGTCTGAACAGTGAAATCTGGTTTGCTGTTATTGGGCTTCAGCCAGAGAGAGGAGAGCGCCCTCCAGTGACACACATGCCTCTTAACAAGCAGCTGCCAGTTCCCCCAAATCCAAAGTGACAGTGACTCTTGTTCTTCATCTGTCACAACAGCGATTCTGGAGCCATCGCTCATTAACTCCCACTGTTTCTACCTCATGTATTTCCTCTATTGAGACAAGAGGCTGAGAATCTTAGTAGAACCACAGAAAATTACATGTAAGCAGATTTTTCTGTCACTAAATGCTCTGTCCATTACTATCAATTACTGTACAAAGCCACAGTCTACAATTTCCACGAGGAAACCAAGATGAGGAGATAAGCAATGAAAAAGGAAGCAGCCAACATGAGGCCTTGTGTTGACATTGAAGACAGGGGTTGCTACAAAATAAAAATGCACAGCTCTTATACCTGCTGGGCTAAACCTTCAGAGAGAAGGCTTTAATGACAATACCAGACGGACAGAGCATGGGAGACGAGGGAAGAGAAAGACAAGATGACTGAAAAGATAAGTTCAGAAAAAGACATTAAAAGGAGAAAAAAAAAGGAAGCCAAATAGAAATGAGGACACATGCACGCGCTTAATATCACAGGACAATGATGGAGAAGAGGAACAAGGATTAAAGATACCTATTGGAAAGTCTAAGAGAAACCCAGGTGGGACACTCTGGCAGGAGCTGATCAGAGAGGGGTTGATTTATTCGTCTAGAACAATCAGCCTGAGGATATTGGACCTAATAGCACCTGAAGACAGACAAACTGATGTCTCCCAAACTGCAGCTTCCCTTCTCCTCTACTCCACCTTGGGCAGGGGGGAGAGGGTCCGGACCAAACCACGCCAGCTCCACCTGGAGCTCAACTTTAAATCACCCAGCAGTGTCCCGAGCCAGCAGACAGACAGTAAGATGGGTGTTCAGATGGACAGACGGACAGTGCAGAGGAGGACGTGTTTACTTGGCCCAGAGCGGCCTGAGATAGGAGGAGGGATGTTGAGGAGGGAGAGGGAGGGAGAGGAACGGCTGCTGATGAGGTTTCTATGAAGACTGATCTGTGGAGAGGGAGTCGGCAGCACCAGAGACACAGACTCAGCTGAATCAGCAAGAATGGAGCAAAAACAGACCTAGCAGGGAATCTAAAAAAAAAACCAATGCATTGCATGATCAACTCATCTAAATTTAAAAAAATGTAAAAGAAAACAAACACTAACAATCAACGCAAATAGTTTCAGTTATGCACGTCGACCCGAGCATAAAGCAAAGTCAGTGAAATTGAGTTTTTAGTGCTCACGTTATAACGACAAGTTCTCTTCGCAGAAACAATGTCCTCATTATTTCTCACTGTGATCAGTTTTCAGTAGAACCACATTCTACCAGAAAAAAAAATTGTCACCATGAAAACAGTTGACAGCATATCGTGTGGATTACCCAGAGCAGTTGGAACATTATTTCTGGAAAGCCAAGTTGCTGCTGTGTGCATTTAATGTTTTTTTTACAGCTCTGAGCGCCACAAATGAAATTCCATTCCATTAATTGTGTTAGGGCAGGAGCAGATCTCTTAGAGATGGATATCTCATTATCTGGACAAATGAAAAAGCAAAACCTTCTGAGTGCAGTTTGAGTGGGTGGGAATTTTTTGTCTCTTTTTTTTTTGGATTTGTGTGAACTGACCCTTTAAAGACAAGCAACATGATAAAAATGCACATCTCTCATTACTGAAGAGGAATTTGAAAAAAATCCCAAAACGTGAGCACCACAACTGCTGACGGCATCTGTTCAGATTTTGCCACGACGCAGCCAGACCCGCTGCTACGATCCCAGCACGGACATTGCAAAGATTCATTATTATTCAGCCGGAGAGTTATGGTCAATAAATAGTAAACCACCTTTACATTAGCCCCTGAGGTGAAGGCAAACATCCAAAGAAAACTAAAACAAACCATGGTAAATGACAGGATCCAGGAGTGGGAATGGCTTTCAAGAGAGGATTGTCAAGCCCTTGAATTTTCTATAAGATCTGAACATGCTCCATGAACATGAACACGCACACATACATATACACTGTAATCTCTGACAAGGTGATGTATTGGTGCATACACCCACTGCACTCTTATTACTTATAAATACATTGCAGCTACAGTCCAACTCGGCAGAACGTGCGCCAGTGTGTGTGCGCATATATATATATATATATATACATACATATGTGCATGTATGTGTGTTAGATTGTCTCCCATTCGTCAGGGGAAAAGCAGATTCTCTGCCTCCCTCCTGCTCCATGTCGGGAGCTGGTTGAGCAGGCCAAAGCCACATGTGATTTATCCAGCAACCTCACCCACCAACTATTCCCTCCACACAGCTGCTGAGAATCAGCAGCCCCATACATTTCACACACACACTTTCACAGACACTCAAACGAGGGTCAGTGGAAGAATGAATTAAGGGAGGATTCTTAATGCATATGTACGTGCTGCAAACATGTGCATGTGTTGGTAATTGTGAAAACATATCTTCAAATATGTGATTTTATTCATATTTGCCTAATCCTTACCTATTTGCATGACCCGTCCAAAAACAGAAGAGTTGTCCACTGTGCTGCAGTTCCAGCGCCGATGTCTGAACTGGTACTGGCACTCTCTGATGCCTGTCTTGGCCCCCTCACCGATGTACTGCATGTGGTCTTGGTACAGCTGGCACAGCTTCTTCTGGCCCTGTGACAGGCCCACCAGCTGGCTGCACAAAGGTTGGGCACCGATGATGTAGGCCTCTGGGATCAGTAAAGGGTTCATGGCCAGAGACCTGGATGAGTGAGACAAATAGCGCAGTTGTTTTCACTCGTGTGCCATAAAAAAAAAAACGTGTATGGCAAGTTTTCAGGCCAAATCCACAATCAACAGCTGCTTTCTCCCTGCTTGTGGATGGAACTGCAGTATGTTAATCATTGAAATGAGAAACAGTCACTGAATGGAGTGAAACTCTGCACACTTCTCTTGACACTGCACTAGAAATGTGCCATTTAGGGCCAAGAGCATATGATAAATGGAAGCAGAAAGACGGGAGTCAGAAAGAGAAAAGAGGGAAAGAGGAATAAAAGTAAAAGAACTTGGTCAAAAGATTCAAAAAAGAAAGAATTAAAAGAAGAATCAGACACTTTGAAGCATTAAGTTCACCACCCTCATTTACTTGTGACAGCCAGTGCCTGAAAATAAACCCAATCCACAGGTTGAATATTAAAACTCTGAGCTGTGAGCGTGCTCAGAAAGAGTGTGATATCAAACTCCACAGTATTTTATAAAAACGTAAGATGTAAGAAAAGTCAGAAAATGTAGTTTTGCGCAATTTGATTTTTGTTCCTTAAAGAAAAGAACACAAACCTTCCAGATGTGTCTTGTGGACTCATGGTGTATTTCCAACTTTAGGTCAGAAACCACCGTCTTGGGTAATATTCAGTAATATTCAGCTGACTAAGCTCGTACAATTCCCACTAAAAAGAAACAATATATTCCTACGTTGTGCTGAAACGTTCGTCATAATTCATGTTTCCTCACAGACAGCTCTTAGCCATGAATTCTGTGTAACCTTTTGAAGAAGGGAAATAAAAATGAATTCAAAGGGGGAAAGAGACAGAGACAAACACAGTTGAAAGAGAGAAAGAGGGAAACACTCGTATGAGCATCTGGTTCCAGGCCACAGGACAATTAGAGCAGCCCATCCCCGAGCCCCAAGAGAGAGACAATTAGCCCCCAGTGTAACCTGATCAACTGGGGGAACTCAGCAGCGAGGGAACGCAGACTGGAAACACACACACACAACATACGCAGACTTACACACAAGCACACAGAGGGGAAAAAAAGAAATCAACATACACACAGTTAGTACGCTCAGTCTCACACACACACACGAGCAGACTTCTGCTCCGACGCTCTAAATCATTCACACCTGTGTGTCCTCTCAAAGGGGAAACTCACACACACACAGTTTGTGCTCCAAGCAGAGCTTTCCAAAAGGTCTGTGGTAATGTGCGACTCCTCAGCTGGGCCCGTAATCCAACTCATTATTGGACCTTTAATGTAGTCGCCTACTGAGCCGAGCCCATTAAACTATGTTTATCTGTAGAAATCCTCTTCAAATTAATAGTTTAAATTATTATTTTCATATAATTGGTCCATCACCACATGATGTCACCACTTGCTTTGATCCGCTCTTCTGATGTAAATAAAAGTCGTACACAGGAAGTGTGAGTTTACTGTAAATGCTTCATGTTCTTCCGCAAGCACTCAAGTCGGCATATACAAATACAAGTGCACAATTAGGTAAAGACACAGAAAACAGCCGAGGGATGTGAGGAGTTGTGATTTGGCCAAAGTAGTGCTTCTATGGTGACTGGTAAACACTCTTTTCCCCTATCACAACTTCAGCATGCTCAAATATGGACTTTTCTCCCAATGGCAGTGTGTGTGTGTGTGTGTGTGTGTGTGTATGCACACGCAAACACACGTGCAGTCACACACACCGTGTTCGTGTTTGCACATATTTTGACGCCGACTCATAAACCACAGCATTTTATGTTTTCTATAATATTCATAATTTTGGTTTGGCAATAAGTGAAGAAAGAAAATAAGGGAGAAAAAAAAAAGGTCTTCCTGAAAAGTTAATGTGGCACAGTCAGCATGTTGGATTACTTCATATGTGGCGCAACTGAAGCTGAGGATTATTTAGCAAACATGCACATACAGGACTGAAATCAAGTCTGAAACGCAGAAACAAAAACAAACACTGATAGCTTTTTTTAAATCAATGTCAATCTTAATGTTTTTGCTTCTTAGACTTCCCTGTTTACACATGGGATTCATGTGAGAGTGAAAAGAGAAAATTATGTTTTAAAATCTGACAATTTCAACTCGTTATATGACAAGTACACACACACAAAACACTGTGCAAAAATTACAACACACACACACAGAAATACTGCACATATGGAGAGAATGAATGCATACCACCAAGAGTTGGCCTCCACCACCACCTGCATGAGGAGTGTGAGCAGAGTGAGGGCAAAGACGCAGTGTCTGGAGTCCAACACGCTGCCAAAGGGCCAGCAGACAGGCCGACGCAAACAGCCCAGCCCCAGGTTCATACTGCCGCTGATCTGAGGGAGGACAGAGAACAGGATGCACGTCAGTCTGCATGTCTGGACGTTTCGTCTCTCACACACAGTTTATTGTGCATGATACAGGGGGAAAAAAGACAGGAGACATGCAATGTCAAAATGTACGATGGGGAATGTAGGAGAAATACTTTCAGCTATGTGCCTCTATAGTGAAACTCTCTTTTGCATGCAAACTGGACTGAGATTGTGTGTGTGTGTGTTTGTGTGTGTGTGTGTGTGTGTGTGTGTGTGTGTGTGTGATATGAGTGCCCTGAGGATATCAGTGCTTGCTGAGACGTCATTTGGCAGCAGGTCTGAGTGTGAATCACATACGACTGATAGACAAAGAGCTGGAAAAGACACAATGACCATAAAACGCCAACTAGACACATTCCTGACAGTTCACTTGAAATGCGCAAAGAGAAAGATGCAGAACGAATGAGTGAGTGAGTCAGTGTGTGTGTGTGCATATGTATGTGTGGCCAATAGCTTATTTTAAATACATTTAAGGTTACACATTTACTATTGATATGACCAACAAATATGATTTTAATTTTACTGCAAATATGATTCATACAACATTAGATCCTAAACATGCAGACTTATTAAATAAAACCCATTATTTGATCTGTATTTGCACCATTTTTAACCAATGGCAGACCTGATCAACTCCTGTTGACAAGATTTGATTTAGTTAATTTCTGTAAATAAGAAACAGACCTCTGTGAAATAATAATACTGTCACACAGATTCGTTTTTAAATAAGTTTTCATTACAGTTAATTGCAAACATCTCAATAGGATTTAGAAGAGAACACAAAATGCATAAATTACAAGAAAGACATGTAGGATTTTTTTTAACTTCATTTTTCGGGAACTACGACGCGCTTAGCTATTGAATATGAAATCTGACAAATAATGAAATAATCAAAGGTATGTTGAAATTAATTCTCATCTTCAGCTAATTAATGGAACGTGGATCTACCTGTCAGGAGCCACGTCAGCGGGTGATGCTGTCTGATGATTTTAGAGCTCAATTTTCGAAAATCAAAAGTAATTACAAAGGGGAAAATGTCAATATATGTGCAGACATCTGCGTAGCGTTTGGTGATAGTCTGGCCGCCATATAGGCAGAAAATGAGTTAAAATAATTACCCTTAAATTTCCGAGTTAAACCGATGTGCCAGCCCCTGAGTTGGGCCGTGTGTGAAGTTTGGGTCTGAGAGCAGCTCTAATTTGTCATGCTGCGTTATTTTCCAGGCTTGTGTCGTGGAGACTTGGGCCCTGCCTAATACTCATTAAAGCCAAGGCCAAGTTCACCATCATTCACCCAGCGCCCTGGTGCGCGCGCGTGCACGCACACACGCGCGAGCGCGCACACGATCATATGCTTTCATTTTGCCTCAGTAGAGCAGTTGCTGAGGTTATGTTATGTTTCTTGCACCTCATCCAGATAAATTAAAGCGATGGTCCACAGAGGGCGGCGGTTTGCCACTGATTTTAAACCAGAGCTGGAGCAGCAAGCGAACACATATTTTAATTCACGGATAATTAACATTGGCAATTTCATATTAGTTTTTGCGCCAAACTGGATGTGCCGCATGATTGTGCGTAATCATATTTGAATGAACCGTCACTATGGCACAGGTGCGCGCAGTTAACGAGTCTCAGCCAATCAGAGGAGAGAACAGTAAAAATTCATTTTAAGAGAAACAAGAGTGTAGTCTATTAATTATGAATTAATATCTCATAAAACGGATTTATTCGTCTCGGCGGCTGCAGCTATTCAACCCGGCGCGGAACTCACGATTTGTTAGACTCAGATATAAAATCCAGCGTTTGGCATCTGCTGTGAGCGCTGCGTAAATCCTGCGCTCCGTGACCCCTGCAAACGATTTGACCCGAGTGAAGTATTCACAGAACCTGAGCGGATGACTGACGACGACCCTGCCGATTTCTGTCCGTGGAGGTGGCATCAAATTGAACAAATTATAGCAAGAGAACAATTAGAATATAGCATCGTCAAAAATGATAAAAACATCGGGCGCTGCTGTTGCACTGGATCATTGGAAAGGGCGGTTTCAGAATGACTTCATCCATTAGGATCAAACCAGTACAGAAAATATGCATCCAAACGATTCTTTTACCGTAAGAAAATGTATGTAATTATTTAACCTTTGAGTCAAATATGGGCCGAAATATTTTTTCTATTTCTCATTTTTAATTTTCTCTGTCTTCAAAACTATCTAAAATATTATAACAATAAAATACAACGGCCTAAAAAAAATATTTTCTCAGCAAATTATTGTGAACGGGAAATCCTGGGGTTCCAAATTATGGCATCGTTTCATGATTGACTAGGCCAATTTTAAGCATCATTTTTTAAAGTAGCCAGTGGCCTGCATTTTGGAGCCTTTGGATAAATGCTGACGTTGATTTGAATATGTTTTTCTGAGATATTGATGTGTGTGTGCAGAAATTCGCACAGCAATTAAATTATAATTGTAAAATAATAACTGCACGGCTCTGTAATTTACTGAAAAATGTGTGAACTATTATCTTCATTTAATAGATTAAAGGTGCTGAGTGTCTTTGGCTGCCTGATAAACCAGGAGAGGGAGCCAGGTGCAAGGATTTGAAGTGGAGACGCAGCACAAAGAGCATTGTCTGACTTTACATGAGTCCCATTAACAACAGAGCATTCACAGCAGGGTGTTTTTAAATGATCTTGTATATTAATCCATATAAAATGACTTATGGTTGCCTACGTTTTTCTGTGTTGCATGACGGTGACATATGGTTGACAGGCAGAGAGGAGGGGGTGTGGGGGCATGTTTCACACATCACATCTGTCAAGAACTTTTATCCAAATCCATCAAGCAGCGTTATGATCCACACAAAACACACGGTCCACTGTTAGTTAAGTTAAAACAGTGCAAACTGGGGGGCATGCAGGCTTCTATACTCACCAGTAGGGATCACAGCCCGTTAGAAGTTGTAATCCACTTTCTGCAGACGATATCAAACCAATAATCCCAGTGCAGGCCAGGTGGATTTATGGTTCCCTTTCCTTGCTGCAGCGAGGAGTAGTCTTGGAGTTCTGTTTTTCTCTTATCCAGATCTCTTGGAAAGTGCTTTGCTGGGGTGAACAGACTGAGAAGCTAAAGTTCTGCAGGTTGTGGTGTTTTGGGGAACAAGGATCAGTGAGTGCGCTCAGTCCGCAGAGCAGTTTAGAAGATGCGGCGATATTACGCACAAAGTCCAATGACAGCGATCGGTTCCTTTAACCACTCAGTGTGCGACTCTGCGGGGACTATTAACACATGAAAAAGAGTAAATCTACGGCAACCCAAAGTGCAACTGGCGGAAAAGTCGCATACACTCGTGTGGATTATCTTCTAATTGAAAGCGGCCTACTTTTACAGTTTCTATCCAAGTGAAGCCTTCTCCTGATTACAGCTAAAATGTAGTAAAACAAAAAGAAAACACTGATGCAGATTAAATCCAGCCGCTGACACGCTCAGGTCATTGCGCGTTTTTTACCTGCGGAAAGATCCACACGGTGATCCTCGCCACAAACGACTTGTCAATTTACCCTCCATTCTGTGCAAAAAACCCAACTCTGTGACAATCCCTGAGCTCGATTTAAAAGTCCTCACATGCGGAACAGAAAATCGTCCGCCTGGTATAAAAAGAAGAAGAAAAAACAGATGTAACAATTAATCGGCTCCAGACAGTATGCTCCAAAAAACTTTCCGCGCCGACTATCTCCAAACAGTGCGGCTTTGGCGAGAGCGCACGGTGCCGGGGGGGAGGAAAAGAGCACGGCGTGTGGACAACAAGCGGCTTCTCTGCGGCTCCGAGTCTGTCGTCTTCCCACACCGTGTGTGTGTGTCGGTGTGTGTTGAAGTGCAGAAAAGTATCCACCACTATCCCTCCTCTCTCTCTCTCTCTCTTCCTCTCTCTCTCTCACCTGCCTCAGTCGCCTCCTCTCACAGACTAGCTCACCGCAGCGTGGATGCGCAGCGCAAAACCTTCAGATGGCGCATGCGCTCCGCGTTTCTCATCAAATCCCCTTTTTTCTCCTGCCAGTCACCAACTTCGTTGGAATTTGAGAGGAAGGTAAACTTGTAGAGAGAGAGAGAGGGAGGGAAAGAGAGGAAGAAAGAAAGAAAGAAGTTGAAGAGGGCGGAAGAGGCTGTAACAAAAGCGTCTCTATTACCTAAAATAAACTTATAAAGCACCCGGGGCTATTACCCCATCCATACCAGAGCAGAGTTAGGATTTTCACTTGCAGCAGATCGAGTTACTGCTCTGTACAATCAAGACAAGCAGGTCCACATCGTGCAGCCATAGGCCCACAGGCTGCTCTCATCACCCACAAGGCCTGAGAGCATTGCAGGTCATTACGGTAATTATTATTTTATGGTGCACTATCTCAAAACATGCTGCAGGAACCAGCTCTAATATTTCTCAGTGATCCCGGTTGGTTGGTGTCAGAGGGCAAAGTGTTTAATAGTTCCATGTGTGTCACTGTAGATTTTCTCTGGTGTGTGTGCGCCCACAGTGAAGGCATTCAAGGGTGAATAAGCCGTGTTATTTTCAGTTGCGCTGGACAGGATTTCATGTGGATTGAGGAAGTGGAGATAGAATAACAGTCAGCAGAAGAAGTAAAACAATTCTAGAAATTAGTGGAAGGGGACAGCCCCCTGAATAACTGGGAAAGAAAAATCATTCAGACACTCATCTATATGTATTACACTTGTTCAAGTGCAGCCAGTCTTATAGGTGTGATGTAGAACTTATTAAAAATCAACCCCTGTGAGAAAGCATGGTGCATTTCGTCTCCAGCACTGAGACAGCAGATCAAAGCTGACTTTTCTCTTACATGCACAGTATAAAGCTACAATAAAGTGTTTTTAAAATCATCTAGCTTTCATAACAAAATCTGAATTGCACATGAAAAAGGTCATTTTAAGTGCATTTAATTTTTTAAAAACGAATAAAACAACAGCTGATTTGCTCCCCTCATGATGCTTTTGTGAGATCCTGAAAGGATGTCACACTTAAGGATGAAACTCTCCATGAATATACCTGAGAGTATAAAACTTCAGCGAGTCTTGTGCGAGCTCTTCCTCCCCGGATAATGTTACCGCTCTGGATGCTGGAAAAAGGCTGCAACTGCGTCAGAGAGCGCTTAAAAACATGCCCGGCCACATTTCTGATCCCCACTCACTCCCTCACCATGCCTCAATGCCCCTCCCTCCATCCCCTCCTCCGACCCCCCTCCATCCTCCCATATTCCCCGAGGAAGAAAACTGGGCAACATCTGGCTGAGTTTATGAGAGAGAGAGAAAGAGTGAGGGAGAGAGAGAGAAAGAGAGAGAGAGAGAATTGGTAGACCATGAAAACTGGGAAGAATTCTTTCTCGGGCAGTGCAAGAGTCTATTGTTGTAGCTGCCATTAGCAGCGGTGAAACTTTAATCTTTTGAAAATACCCATTGTTGCACTCAAATTAACCAATAACACCGGCGATGTCAGTGTTCACATTATTGTCTTTCTAATCAAATAAAATTTTGCAGCGCTTGTGAAAACAACGTTTTATTCAAACAACAGAGACAAGCTGACCACTGCAAGACACTGTGGAACAAGTCAAGGGTGAATGATGTTGACCCCCAAACTTTCACGGTCGCCACAATGATGAGATCGGTACAGAAACCACACACACACACACACACACACACACACACACACACACACACACACACACACATACACACACATACACACACACACACACGCACACACTGTACAAAAACTGTACATATTAGGTAAGGGCCAGATGGAAAAAGAAAATGTTAAACTGTTGAATCCAACACAACAATACTCTATTTATCATCACCTCCTCCAGTGCAGTGAAAAAAGTAATGACACAGTGCTTTGAAATGCAAGTCACTTCATAATTAACAGATTAGCCACTCGGGATCAATAAATAGACGATAAAAGAATGCATCGCTCATCAGCGCAATAAGTCACACACAGCTGTTACAACTTCAAAAAAGAAGAAGAAGAAGAAGAGTGGCACTCGAAACTGTTTCGGATGTAGAAAAGCAAACAGAACATGATATCGGTTCATTAAACAAACGTACAGCAGGCTGAGAGAACACAAGGAGAAATGTATAAACACGCTGTTCTTACTGTAATCTGGCTGATTTGAGGTCAGCTGTGTTTCCTCCCCTGTTCATTAAGGTCCTGATTTTTAGAGAAGGTGTAAACTGATCCTCAAACTGTCCCTTTATTTTGCGGTGCATCCCCGAGCCCAGATTGGCCCTTTTTCTTGTTGATCTCTCCACAGGAAGTGGAAGACAGTCAGACCAGGGTGGTTTGCTGGGTAGCCCCAATGATTCAGACGCAGTCCCGCTTCGGTAATTTGTTTCAGCAGACGGGGACGTCTCCTTTGGCACGGCACATTGACAAGGTCTCTGTGGATTGTGGATTTTGAAGTCCGTGTTGTGATATTTACAAAAGTTTTGAGTTTTGAGGTCTCCCTCAAAGGGGAGATTTTAATCTTAAAGGACTTCCTGGTTAAATAAAGGTTACGTAAATAAATAGCAAAAAAATAGCTGCAGAAGTATAAGCACATTCATGCCATCATAAACCAGTCCAGAATTTACATGTGTTTACGGCTAGTTCCACGGGCTCAGCTTAGCCACACTAGTAGTCGAAAGTGGTTATTGTCAGTTGATGTGAAGCCAGAACTCTGTAGCACCGTGGTTCTGTAAAATGAATCCAGTTCCTAGTCTATTGGAAACAGCTAGGAAAATCAAGGCAGTGGACCGCTTGCCAATACCTTTAAGCTGCAGAATGATGACTGATGCTCTGGTGGGGGAACATTCACCCACAGTGGGACGTGGTCCTCAGCGGGCCACTGTGCATGTTAGTGAAGGTAACATTCATCGGTGAGATGGAAAATCTCGACCGATCGCTGCGGTGTGGCCACAATAAATTGAAATGGTGTTTCCTGGAGAGCGCGTGTGTTTGTCTGGTGGTCGTGATGTTGGGGAGGTATGAGCTGCTCGACTTTGTATTCTTGCAGTTGAAGCTCTTGAACCTCTTGGTGCACGGCTCGACAAGCAGCTGTGGAGAGAAACATTGAGAAAAAACAATCAGTATGCGAGCTCAACCACAGAGAATTAGAAACAAATGCGAAAATCCACACAGGGATATGAAGATGCATTATCTAGCCAAGGATCTTGAGTTGTTTTTAATTTCCTTGGTCATCTCCTCAAAGGTTACATCATAGAACTACAATGCCTGGTAACAGACAAAGAGAACTCAGATGCTCGGTCGGGCTTAGATATATTTTTTCAGCTATAGCTTGACCGTTTTCTTCCTCTAACTGTCTGGCGAGTCTCCAGTGCTCCTTACGAATGCTCTAAATGCAGTTGGCAGGAGCCCAAACATCAAGTGCTCATTAATAAAAAGGAGAAAAAAAAGAAGCGGAATCGGAATGTGTCTGTTATTCAGGCCGCACAGCAGTCAGCAACAACTCACTTCTTTCCTAAGGGTAAGGTTGTGAAAAAAAGAAACAATGATGTATGTCTGGCACACTGGGGGCGCCTCATTGGCTGAGCAAACAGGCCCCGAAATAACTACCAATCACTGAAGACGTTATCATCAGTCACTCAGAGAGGGTATAGTGAAAGAAGTTTAAATCTACATATAGGTAAGGATGGAGGAATGTGTTGGGGTAGAAATGATCTGGTTTATCTACCCCCTAAATATCTCAGGAACCAGTTTTAATAGTTGCATCTAATTGTAGTGTGTTGTGTATAAAGACTGATGTCAGATTGTAAGGAATGTGTCTGCAGGGCTGCTCGCACTCTTCCTGCCTCCTTCTGATTGGCTGCCAGGCAGAGAAGGACCATCCATTATATCCAGGAGTAAATAAACAGGCACAGCAATTAAAGTGCCATCATTTGTTATGCAACACAGGGCCTGTGTGTGTGTACATGTAATCCAGCTTGCGTGTTAGCACCACCGAATGTGTGTCTGTGCATGTGCGTGTTTGCGTGTGAACTTGTATGTGTGTTTGGACGCCATGCTCAAGTTTCTCTGCTGTCGTCTAGACTTAAATTAATGATTTGGGGGCCAGAGAATCAACAACTGTGGCCCCCGGCAGGGCATAATGGAGAGCACGACCTGCCTGTGGTTGTGTTTGAAGACCGCTCCCCTTTCTTCTCTGTCAACACCTCACTACCTCAACACAACAGATGCATTCACAACACAAAGTCACGTGTGACGCCTGTGTTCGCACCGTTAATGAGGAAGTGAGTGTCGCTATGTGGTCAAGAATGTGTGTACGCTTATCGGCCAGTGATTATTTTAAATGTCAGCATGTTGTAACAGAGTGTTAAAATCATAAGGACTTTTATGCTCCTGAGTGGAAAGTGCTGCATTTGTGGTCATGATTATGTCGGATTTTGAAACACGACAGAGTAAAGGATATTATATCAGTCAGGAAAAGCCAGAATCACACTTTGGATAATTTAGAGTGCTCAAATGGCTCTGACAGGCTGCTTAAAGCCCTTCCAGCCCAAAGGTCATTGTCCACAATTTTCTGCACCATCAGCTGCTAAAGCCAGCTATGTGGATACTGCAGTGCAAAATGAAAACATTTCAACAACTTGCACACTCTAGTTTTACTGCATGAAAGTGTAAACTGCAGCTGGGTGGGGAAGTCAGCGTCTCTGAAACAGATTCAAAGAAAAGTAGAATATGATTGAAAACAACCGCAATCAAACCAGCTGCTCTGACTGTTTCTGTCCAGATAGTTTCATGGACTTTGTTTCCAGTGTTGGACTGACATTTGACATGAAACAAGACTTGTAGTTGATTCTGTTGGCAGCGCTGCACACAGGGACATTTGACACATAGCCGTAAACACACATGGGGATTCCAGTTATCAAGCAGCCGCTGGCGATGTGCAGCAGTCTGGCCTG